CTTCAGCAGTATATTGATAATACGTCAGACTTGTCTAAAGCACAGACATTTCAGGCTGTATGTACACAAAGGTCAAACAAATAAGTACTGTTCTTTAGAATTATCGTCTGATCTTAGACCACAAGATGTGGTCTAAGAAATTCAGCAGCTTGATTCTGCCCCAAAAGTCGAATTACTATTCTGTTTTTTTCCACATCTTTGCCTGCTTTTACACCCAATCCCCTGCCATATGTTCCTTCTGCACATCTGGTGCTGGCTTTGGCACACTTCAGTCCTCTCTGAGAGCCAGTTTAATTTACTACAATGACAGAAAATAAACCCAGAAAGAAAAAAAAAGAAGAAAAAAGCAAGAACAACAAACAAAAACCCTTGGTGGTTTTGTGCTGGTTTTGAGTTAGAATGTCTCTCAGGAAGGCCTGGTAAGCAACAGACCCGTGGAGAAGGTAAAAACATACAGTCACAGAAGAAATATGGGACCAAAGAGGTGAGAAGTGGGAAAGGAAGGAAGGCAATGGGAGAATCTTCTGCTTGCAGATGCAGCCAGCCACTGCATCTGCTCAAGTGTCAGCGAACCAACACCTTGCACAAATTCTTCTGGTTGCTGCTTATGCTAGACTAAAAGATATAAATCACTCTACTGCTCGCTGCCTCCCAGGAATCTCCTGGACAGGACGGTGGCATACAAATGTGCTGTGTTATCTAGTGATCAGTTGCCCCATACAGGCCTAATTTAGGTTTTCATTTTAAGTTGAATATTTATTTTTCATTTCTACCATTACTGATACTTGCCTCCCTGAGACCTTCCACCTTCAGGTTGATAAAAATTGCTTAGGTTCAGACCATGTGCCTTTGGAGATGACAGCAAACAAAGTATGGGTAATAAATATGAGTGAGATTTTCAGTGGTCTTCATCGTCAAGGGGTGGAAGCAAGCATAGGTCCACTTTGAGTCCTTCTAAAGCTAAAAATCTTGCCCAAAGAGCTCAGAGGGTTCAGGTCTTCCGCAAAAGCTCTTCTGAGAGCTCATCTGCCAGCTGTGTGCAAAAGCAGAGGTACTGTGTCTACAACAGATCTATAAGCTCTCACTTGCGTGCGTATCAACAGAGGGCTCACTCACATAAAATAGGTGAATTTTATGAACCAGAGGGGTGATGTCATAATTTGAGCACTTTATATAAGCTAACACAGGAAGAGTCACATGGAACTGGCTATGTTAGATACTAGAAAAAGGTTCTTCCCCCAGAGGGTAGTTGGGCACTGGAACAGGCTCCCCAGGGAAGTGGTCACAGCACCAAGCCTGTCTGAGTTCAAGAAGTATTTGAACAATAGTCTGGGGCACATGGTGGGACTCTTGGGGATGGTCCTGTGCAGGGGCAGGAGTTGGACTTGATGATCCTTGTGGGTTCCTTCCAACTCAGCATATTCTGTGATTCTGTTATTGCATTTGTTCTGGCAGTGACACAAATCCACACACAACGTATAAAGAAGTGTCTCAGAAGTTAAACCACATGGAGGAATGCAGAGCCTGTTCTAAGCAATTAACCCTCAGAGCTGGACAAGGCCAATTTTTCACAAGTATCCAATGACTTGTTTTTCTTGATTTTTTTTCTTGCATTTTTCTACATTGTTTACTATGAATTTAATTTCTACAGATAAATAAATTAATGAGCAGCTTTATATGACTGCCTGAGACAGTATTTCACATTGATAATCCAGATCTCTTTTAACCTGAGGTCTTGGTGCTTTTTAAAATATCATCTCTTTCTTATTTCTCTGTAGAGTGAGCAGAATGTCCAACATCAGCCATTAGTGACCTTGCCCATGCTTTTATATTTCTGGTTCTTTCTCAGTCAGTGGTGTATGTGCATTATATATTCTAGAATTATTATTGTAACTAGTTGGAAAGCTAAAATGCTTGAAGCAGACCTTGAACAAAAATCTTTCATCAAAGTCTATCAGTCTCCCTCTGAAAATTTCCAAGTATCTTGAAATTAAAACCTTAAAAATGTTTTTCAATAAGCAGAACAAAGATTCCTCTCCTATAAAGGAGAGTTAAGGAACAAAATGAAGGCAGGACTTCAAAGAAACAGATCTTATTAGTATGTCTTTTTGAACTACAACATTTTTAGGACTATCTGAAATTCATTAAAATTTTTTCAGCTTACTTGAGAAGTCAGTAATTAACCCTAACTGCTACTGAGAAACTTTATGGGATATGCTTTTGTAGATAGCTTCCAGACGGAAACAAAGTTCAACAAATAAAGCAAGCTTTTGCAAACTTTAATAGATGCAACAGGCTGTAGAATCAGAAATGACACAGCATTGACTTCTGCCCTCCCCCATTCTTGACTGACTATGCATATAACCACTATCAGACTGCAATAGATGAAAACATATACCAGTAATAAAAAAGGGATGATATAGTTGCAGAGATTCACCTGAGCTCCAGAGAAATTTAGAAGTGCTCATCATTTGTTATTTCTTTCACAAAAAGCTTATAAGCTCTTAAAACTGACATGATGGCCTTTCGCGAGTTATTATGGCTTCTGTCTGTACTTGCAGCTCAGTTACAAGGAGCAGCACTGAAGTGCAAGGTCAGTGTGGCCATATTAATTATGTACTTTTTTATTTCCAGACATAAAATTCTCAGACAAATTCTTCCTATCCAGCCACGCAATTATTGTTATATACCAATTTTGATCAGGATGAAAAAGGTTCATTTGGAGTTATTTAAATCAGAAATGCTTTTATCTGGTACTGGAGATCATACCACTAAACATCTCTGAATGAATCTTCGTTTCTGGAGATCACAGTTGTTCCCAATTAGCCTGAAAAGACATCCTATTCTGTGCTCATTTGGTTGAAAGACCGTCATAAGAGTGCTCAGAAGTATGGTGTTTCTAATACAGGCAGAGGCTTTGTAGAACAATTAATAGCTAGGGAAAAACATTCAGGAAACAGCAATGTCCAGACATTTAGAACTTGCAAATGATTTTGAGATTTTTATAAATGATCAAAAAAAAAAAAGAGTTTGGTCTTCTGAGGCAGTAATGAAGCCAGATGTACTGGTTTTGGCTGGAGTGGAGTTAACTTTCTTCAAAGTAGCTGGTATGGGGCTGTGTTTTGGATTTGTCCTGAACACAGGGTTGATAATATAGAGATGTTTTTGTTATTAATGCTTGCACAGAACAAAGGCCTTTTCTGCTTTTTGTCCCGCCACACTGGTGAGGAATTTGGGGATGCACGAGAAACAGGGAGGAGAAATGGCCAGGACAGGTGAACCCAACTGACCAAAGGCATATTCGATACCACATGACATCACAGTCATGTATATGAAGCAGAGAGAAGAAGGTGGAAGGGAAGGACATTTAGAGTGATGGGGTTTGTCTTCCCAAGTTACCATTATGTGTGATAGGGCCTTGCTCTTCTGGGAATGGCTCAATACCTGACTGACTATGGATAGCTGTGAAAGAATTCCTTGTTTCTCTTTGCTTGTGTGCACAGCTTTTGCTTTCCCTATTAAACTGTCTTTATGTCAGCCCACCAGCTTTCTAGCTTTTACCTTTCTGATTCTCTCCCTGGTCCCACTGGTGCAGGGTGAGTGAGCAGCTGTGTGGGGCTGAGTTGCCAGCTGGGCTTAAACCACAGCACCAGGGCAGGGAAATACTTCCATGTAAAAACACATATCAGCCATGAGAAAGGTACCCTGAGAAAGGCTGGTGGTCAGTTTTGACTGAGGTGAATTACAAACTTGTTAAATGCTTGAGAGATAGAGCAGAAAAGGTAAATTACCAATATAGTTGCTGCAAGGATTACCATATTTTACTCTACTGTTAAAATACAGTAATACAGCATGAGTAGGCTTGGACTTGTCATAGTTTTGTGACCTTTTCAGAGTGCAACATTCCCTCAGACACTTTTCCATTCTTGAGCAGACACTGTTTAGGCTATATCTCTTCCTAACATATGTTCAAGTTCAACTGAAAACTGTGCAATTAGTTAATAAGGACTAACTACACTGATAAACCAAATCCAAACCTGTACATACTGCCATACTCTCCACCATCTGCATCAGTGCCATTCATAAAGCTCCATTTCTTTTCTGTGTCCTCTTTGCACACAGAAATAAGGCTGGGCACTGTTTTTTCCTCTATTTTTGTTAAAGCAAAGTAGTGTAAGAGGGAAATTGTGCATGGGTGTTAGGGGAATTCCCTGATGGAGCCAGTATGCCTCAGTTCCAGTAAATGCAAAGCTGAAAATGCCTGATACAGGGAAAACATATTCCAGAATAAACAGAAGATAGCCTTCGCAACTACAAAGTTGAGCTGACCTTTGTTAGCAATTCATTTGTACTTAGGGAAGGTTCTCAGCCAGTGAAAATAATAAAATGCAACAGTGATTTTGATGAAGAAATGTGAACTTACTTTACTCAGGGAATAAGCCTTTATCTTAAGTAAATATAGAACTTGCATTTGTCTGTTCCACTGCAAAGCCTTTTTTTCTTACAGTTTGTGTCTCATATCAGAATATTAAAGGTAAACCCCACAACTCCATAGAGGGTAAAGAGACCTATGTAAGTGTCAGGTTTTCCTGCTTTAAAGTGAGCTTACGTTGTTATTTCTAGAGAAGAGACAAAGTGACCAGGGAAAGCAGTCATGTGCAGTAGTCCTAGAGCAAGAAAAATGTAAATTCTTTAGGACTCCTAAAGCAAGATATGAGATAAAGTAAACAAATATATAAGCAACTAACATAGTAGGCTTATTTTACTGGTTTGCAGATTAAACATGAGTGTCTCAGTTTTCTTCAATGCTTTCTTCTTCGACCTTCCACTTTACTGCAGACACATGGGATTTCTTCCTGAATGTTAGATCTAAAGTAAAACTTGCAACTTACTAACAGTAAATGTAAGTGAGAAGTAAATGCATATTTCTGAAAGAAAATCAGACACCTTATATTTAGCTAATGCACATTTTATGCACAGCTTTGCATTTATTCACACACTTGGATACTTCTAATTGCAACATACACGAAAAGTTTGAAAATGTACTGTACCAGGTATATGCCGTATCCGTGCTTTTAACACTAACAGGTGCCAAACCTGGATGGATCTTGTAAAACTGAATTACCTGCCTACCTTGGGAGACAGAAGGCAGTGTAATAAGGCATGCATGTGCATTTTTCCAACATTTCCAGGAGAAGAACATCAGGTCATGTCCTAAGGAATGGCTGGTGATAAGTAAAATCATTCACATTTAGTAAAATCATACTTTTACTAAAGATAAAGTCATTCACATATGCACTTGGAGCACAGCTGAATAACACAAGGGAATGTGATGCCAGAGACATAACTAGGCAAGCAATTCCACATAAAAAGTGAGAAAATTTAGATGGTAAGATAGCCAACTGTTTGAATATAACTTTAAATTCAAGTTGGCTTCCTTTCCTGAGCTTCTCATATAGACTTTTCCTTCAACATTTCTGCAGGAAGGAGTTGGATTTTTCCCAACCAGCTGATATTGTATTTCTTTTCCAAAGATATTGCCTGTGTATCAGTCATACAGAACATTTGGAAGTATAAAAGAACTGACATTGAAAGTTTAGACACTCGGCTTCCAATTTAGCAGATTTCATCCACGATGCTTGGGCTTAGATATAGGCTATGTCTTGCTGTAACTCAGACAAGATTTCGATAATTTCTATGAAAAAATAAAGGAAAGAAAACATTTCTAGTACAGCTAAGTGCATACCATCGATGTGTATCTGTCTACACAGAGAGATACAAACATATATACATACAGGAGTAGGTGACATTTCCTTTTCACTTGTTCAATAATAAATCTTTGGAGTCGAATGTACTTTGGAATAACTCTGAAAATGCAAGTCAGAGACTTACCTCATTCTAAGGAAGGACGGATGTTTGAAATGCAGGCCTATCAGTGGGCTTGTAAGAAAGGGGCCATAGCATTTATTTGGCCAGCCATTATAACAGGAAAAGCAAAAACAATTTGAAGGCACAATTTGTGAAGATCTGACCTTTTCTTTCCAAGTACAAAATTGGTCAAATGCATTTTTCTGAGAAACTAACAGTCATAAAGATAAGAGATAGTTATGTCTCTATACTTAGAGGGTTGTTATAAAATCATAGCATGACAAGAGTATGGATGGAAGGAACCTCAGAAGGTCATCCACACTATTTGCCTTACCACTACAATATCCACTACACCTAAGCCATTTTAGGCAAACATTTGACCAGTCTTTTCTCAGAAACTCCGAAACCATCTGAAGGAAAACAAAGTCCCGTGCTTTGCAATTTGTACTGGTACAAAAATTTTCCTCACAACTCACTAAAATATTTTCTACTGCAATGTAATGTCTAGAAGCTGGGCCTTTCCACTGGAGTGTGATGCAGACTAAAAACCACACAGTGGTGGCTCAAATGTTTTTTGTACCTCTCCAGTTCTAGCTGTTTCTGTGTACATTTGCGCAGGAATAATGCAACAAAGGTTTAAGACAACAATATCAAGCAAAAAGAGATTAATATACATTGTTTTTTATCAAAATAATACTGACAAGACAAGAATATTTTGTGATTACACAACTGAGAAGAAAATGGTTGTCACCTTATAAAGGAACTTGTGGCTTTCTCCCACACACCCGGTCTGGTGCTCAGCCCAAAGGCCCATGCAACCTCCTCTGTGAGCTTGAGGCCAGGCAGTGAAACCCCCTCTAAGAATTGTGCTTTGGTGCAACAATGCACAACAGACCTGTAATGTATGTAAGCACATTAAAAGCTTAATGTATCTAAGCTACATTTAAAAAGCAAATAAAAAAAAAATCAAACTGAACGCAAAATGAGCCAACTAACCAAAAACTAGGGAAAATTTAAAATTCTGAATTATGCTGTTGCACTGTGGTACGCACTGGGCGTGTCCCAGGTTTGTAGCGACCTCTGCTGTACAGAGGTATGCTCTTCCTGTTCCCCTAGCTAGATGGAACAACAGACTTCAGTAGTGTTTCTATTGGGGAGTACCCAGGATCTCCCTGCAACTATCCATCCTACTTGTAAGCCCCCTTCAGGTAATGGAAGGCTGCTATAAAGTAATAATTAAAAAAATTAGTTTCATATTTGTTTTAATTCCTTCTACTGTATTTTAACAAGCAATTTCAGAAGTTAGTGATGACTATTTATTTTTTCTATCCATTTTTATCTTAAACAAATAGAAAGACTTTTCTATTATGCTCATTAGCTTCTTAGCAGGATATAGCAGCCTTTTTCATAAGCATAGTTTTTTGCTCATATTTTCTGTTATTGTCATAGAAATGTAAGAACTGATGAGATTATATTGTTTTCAGTTTATTAAGATAATGTACTGTTACTGTTTAGAGAGTTTTTACCAAGTTGTTCAGACAAAAAGTTTTACTTGAACTATACTGTCATCTTGTGGTGACCAATGTTTCTGTTCCAAATTCACATACGAAAGTTTTCAAACTAAAGTATCTGGACATTATACAAATAATGTTATGTTTCTTGTGCCTGCTTGGTAACAAATAATCAGTGTAGTCTCTTCCCCACTAATTCCAACCGATATATCTACCTCTGCAAATCAAGATGATATCCAGAAACAAAGTCATCCAAACCGACCCTGATGAAAATGTTGCCCTTGAATTCCTCAGTTCTAGTGCTGCATTCCTGAGATGTTACCCATGTCAAAGTGCCCAATATCCAAGGGGATACTGACCTAGGAGATCACACTAAGAGATAAAAACTTCAGCTTGCCTGCACCACTGAAGATAATTGGTATTAAGTGCTGACTAGCTTCAAGCTTACATGTGTGAAGCTTGCATTTTCACTCTTCCCATCCCTTTAAGTCATCCCTGCTTGTGCAAAGGATGCTACACGTGCACAAATGAGTGATGCCATATAAAGACATTAGATGGAACTTGCTTTGATATTGGTTGTGCATTTGCCACACACTAATCCTTTCAGCAGTGCTCAAGTTCCATAGAACCAGTACTACTACTCTGCTTTTTTTGAAGTAAATCTCACCATGGTCACATCAGGGCCTGTCTGGCTGAACTGCACTCCAGTGACGGCATGATGTAGTAGCATAACTTTAAACCTGAGCAAAACAAATGCCACTGAGGTTATTTGGTGCTCATACACACCTTCCTCTTTAATGTCTAGCCAGCCCTGGTTTTGGTTTCCCTGTCCCTGAGCTAGACTCATCTCTAAGGCTTATCTTTAAGGGCATACCTATTTTTTACTTCAGTTTTTTAATCCCACCCAGATCAGACAGGCTGCAGAACATGGTGCACAGCATTCGATAAATCCGAATCTAGATGATTAATAGGATCATTGTTTGCTGGCGTGACAAAGGGTTTCTCCCACCAACAAATCTTGCTGGACCAAACTCCTTGTGCAGAAGCTGTGATGGGGTACCGGCTGCAGTGACAGACTACTGTTTCCTACATCAAAAAGACAGTTCTGACGTCCAGACATGTCGCCTTCTAAATGTTGGACTAATTCCTATGCAACAAAGAAGCAGTGTGAATTAGTCAGTGCTAAATTTAGACTTTAGCAGCTGCCAGTACATAAGCCTGTGGGTTCTGAGCAGGCAGGAGTTCACTATGGGCAATGTATTAAGAGACATTTGCAGGGACTAAGAGCTTCTGAATAATACTGGGTCGGCCACAGCTCTGCCCATTCTCTACCCTAAAAGTATACAGTCTTCCTGAATACTAAAGACAACTGCATGATGGTACCAAAAATCTTTTTTCCAAACAGATTTGAAGACACGTAAATACAGAAGATCATTTTTACCCTACAAAGGACAAGAATAATTCCTCTAGCAGCATATTCTTGCAGGCAGCCAAATCAACAGACTTCCTTTGGAGGCTGTTGCCATGGCATCTGTCCAATGTTCATGGCATCTTCCAGATTTCTGAGATCTAGTGAGAAAGAAAGACGAAAGGAGGTACTAGTTAAAAGCCATACAGCAAAGCTGCTGGAGAAATATGACTCCAGTTCAGCCTGTAGGATATATTCATACTGTTTAAGTGGGATTTTTTTTTCTGAATGGCATTTCATTCATAGGACACTGAGGTTTCTCTTTTGATTTTTGGCAAGGAAGACAGAAATACTATAAAAATACTTGAGTCTAGTTATGGCAAAATTATTTTACCTAACTTCAGCCACCTATGTGCCTAGCCTACAGGGGCTGTCTAGGCCTCTCTCGGAATTCATGGAAGAAGGGTTCCTCCTAAGATTAATTTTTTCTCTCTACTTTAGACACCTAATGTAAGATGGGATGACTTACCATTTGGAACCACTCTCTCTTCTTTAACTATTGCAGGACTCAGTTCTACTGCAAACCAAAATGAAAGAGCTGAGTGAACAGCCTGGACCACATCTTTCTGTGCCTGGAAGCAGTGCTGCTGAAGGCAAAATGGCTTTTTTCCTTATCCCTCAGCCTTAGCAGAGGTCAAAAGCTAAGCACATAAATTAGCACCAAAGGAATTCAGCAAGAGGCCACGCTCAGAAACAAGTGAGGATAAATTAACCTTGAGACAACCATACATGGTTTGTCCTTCAGTGAAAATGTAGCAGTCAGACACAGCTTTACTGCCTTGGCCACTGTGCCAGGGGATGACTCTTTTTTTCTGGACAAAGAGCTCATGTTACAGGGGTTCAGCTCATTCATTGTCAGAGGTTTCCTCACAGTTTGTTGGCTTTTGGCAGGCCCAGACAGCCATACTTTGGAAAAACTGTTAGTAAATCAGGAGTGAGATCTAACCTGACAGATAAAGACATACTTTCATCAAGTACTGTAAGACAAGTTACATAATCCTACAATCAAAGATAAATAAATTCACTTTACCATCAATTTCTGGTTTTGTTTGGGATGACAAGATAATGATCTGGTAATAAGATGCACACAAATTTCTTCAGTTTCTCTCTGTACATGTTATTTCCCTCAAATGAACGCTTCTAAGATAAAATTGCACACAGATTGTTAGCCTACTGAAGATGTATAGCAGGCAGGCATGTGAGAATTTAAATGGAGCACCTAAACAAAAGCTGGTTTTCACAGAATCACAGGATATTCTAAGTTGGAAAGGACTCACAGTGATCATCAAAGTCCAACTCCTGGCCCTGCAAAGGACCATCCCCAAGAATCTAATGAACAAGAAAGCTGTATGAAAATACTAAGTAATTTGGGTCTGCTGTCATAAAAATGTAGATTGGATTTAATAGTAAAACGTAGGAGGTTTTGCTAGCACCATGTGCCTGAGAGCATTGTCCAAAAGCTTCTTGGACTCTGGACGGCTGGGTGCTGTGACTCCTTCCCTTTGTTGTGCTCCTGATGACCATTTCGATGCTTTCAACTGCAGGCAGACTGTGTCTTGCCGTGGGGGGGTCTGGGGAGGACAGGGACAAGCAGAGAGCACAGGAGGGCCTATTTTTCAAGGCAACTCACTTTGGAAGTATTTATTACAGCCAAGAGTACCCTGCCCCTGAATTTCACTCATTAAAAGTCACTCATTAGACCTCACCGCTCTCTATAACTAGCCGACAGGAGGCTGTAGTGAGGGGGGGTGTCTGTCTCTTCTGCCGTGCCTGCAGCGAGGGGACAAGAGGCAATGGCCTCAAGCTGAGGCACGAGAAATTCAGATTAGACGTTAGAAAAAAAATTTTCACTGCCCGGGGGGGTCAGGCACAGGAATAGGTTGCCCAGGAAGATAGTGCAGCCCCTCCAAACGTTTAAGCGGCACCTGGACGGGGCGCTGCGCAATGTGCTTCAGCGATTTAAGGGTTACAGTGGTGGCACCGCCCCCGGAATAGGCTGTCGTGGCGGAAGCGGGGCGGGGCTCGGTCTTTTCGGTGCTGCCGGCCGGGAAAGATGGTGAGCGGGGGTAGCGGGCGTGGGGCATCCGCCGCCATCCGCGCCGGGCCGGGCCGGGCCGGGCCGGGCCGGGGGCACCGCGGCGCTCGGCCGGGTGGCGGGGCCGGGGCCAGGGGGCTGGCGGCGGGCGCGGCTGCTGTGCGGGGCGGGAGGCCGTGGTGCGGTGCGGGGCCCTAGGCACCCAGGGAACCCTTTCTCCATACGCGTTGGCGCCGTGGCCGGGGAAGCCGCGCGGCAGCGGTGGGAGGGTGGTCACGAGAGGGCGGTTTGCTGTTTGTCGGTGAGGGGAGGGGGGAGCCGAGGTAACCGCGCCACGGCTCCGCTTCACTTCAGCACAGGGGCGGGGACGCAAAGGAATGGCGGCGAAAGGCGTAAGGAACACGGTTCCTGAAAATGGAGGCAACCTGTAGGCGAAACTGAGCTGTGGTTCGGAGTTAAGCGTGCCTCTGAGCTGTTAATATAACTTGGTCGGTTTTCGCATGTTTTTTTAAGGGTTGTTCTTTTAGTTTTCGTGACCTGGAAGTATTAGTGATGTTTCCAACGTGCCGTGTCTTGAAATGCTTTTCAGACGAAGGGAACGTCGTCATTTGGTAAGCGGCGAAATAAGACGCACACCTTGTGTCGTCGATGTGGGTCCAAGGCGTACCATCTGCAAAAATCAACTTGTGGGAAATGTGGTTACCCTGCCAAGCGTAAGAGAAAGTGTAAGTAACAAACTTTTACCTGTCTTCAGGTTTAAAAAACACTTGTTTCTTTGTCTCCTTCAGTAGTCTGACTTTTTTTTCCAGCCAAGGAGGGATATTGTGACACTTTTTGTGTTTGGAGCTTTTTCCAAATTAATGGTGACTTAACTATGTTCTAGTGTAGTATTGCTGCATAGAAACTGACTTGAACTATAATTTTTTTGTTAGCTTGAATGAATGTGTCATAAAAATTTAATGTGCAGCTTAATTATTTGGTGCAAATGAATAATAGTAACTTACATGTTTTAGATAACTGGAGTGCAAAGGCTAAAAGACGAAACACCACTGGTACAGGCCGCATGAGGCACCTTAAAAAGGTCTACCGCCGATTCAGGTATGACGTTTTATTACACAGTAGCATGGTGTGAAATCCTGCGTGGACATCACTTGATTATAAAATTTGTCATTCAAAGTTAACATTTTGATTTATTTTTTCTTAGTATCACTTAATGTGGTACGATCTTCTTAAATATATCATGAAATGATGCTTCATATCCCTCAGTCTTTGGTAAGACAAGGGGGTGTATAAAGTTCTGATGTTTCTGTTAAGTAAATATAGCACAGAACACAGAGGTGATTGTAATAAAAGAGACAAATCTTGAAATCATTCCAGTCCCCACTTGCCCACAAAAAAAATTCAGGACAGGAATAACTTTGGGAGCCTCTTTTTATTTAGAGTTCAGTTAGCAGTAAGTAGGTGTTACATCAGATTCTGAGTTACGGGTTTCTAAAACTTGTTACAAAGCTTTCAAGTTGTACTTAGGAGGTAGTGGTAGGAGTTTTATACTGTTGTTAAGAATTTCTTTTGTGTGACCACCATGTTCTAAAATTGAACTCTGCCTTCTGGTCTAATGAACAAGAAAGCTGTATGAAAAATACTAAGTAATTCAGGACTGTTGTCATAAAATATAAATTGGATTTAATAGCAAAATATAGGAGATTTTAAGTCTCAGTTTGGGGTGGCGTTGAATGGTCAGTTCATTTCTTTTGGTTAGCACAGTCTTTCCCAGTAGCAGCCATAAAATACTTTCCACTATGCAACTGTAGCTTGCTTTCTGCTGAGTGTTGCTGAAGTAGAAATGTCATATCCAAAAGCAAGATAGGGGCTGACGAGTCTCTGGTTGGAGGCATAGAGGACACCTGTAAGAAATAGACTTGTGATTCAGAAACATGACATCTTTGGCTGGATTGCTTGGTAGGAGCATGAAGTAAGGTGTGCCTTCAGCAGGTGTGCTGTACCTGGTGCAGTCTTGCAGCATTCACTCAGTTAATGACATCTTCCTGTTTAAAGAAATCAAATTTACTTAAACAGAAGAGAGTGAAAACCATGCTGCTTATTCAAGGCAATTGTTAATAAGATGTTTCTTTTAACAAATGCCTGTATGAATTCTGTACTGAGATAAGCTGAAAAAATGTAATGAGTTTGATCTAAAGCATCACTGTCAGAAAATAACCTGGGGCAAGCATCAACTTTTCAAAAAGTGATAACTGTATTTCTGTTTACAGGAATGGATTCCGTGAGGGAACCACACCGAAGCCCAAGAGAGCAACTGTTGCAGCCTCCAGTTCATCATAAAGACTCATGTATTTGTTAAAATAAATGATCTTATCCAGAAAATATTGTCACCTTTTTTTACATACTTCACCGAAATGCAGAATTCCTGATACTACATAAACACCTACAAACACAAATTCTTAAATGATTGATTTCAAAGAACCCTTTAATTGACTTTTCATTTGATAGCACCTCTGTCTTAAAAAGGACTGTTACCTTTGCACCGAACTGAAAAAAGAGGCTTGTCTGTATTACTCAAAAGAGCTCCCCTGTCAGAGAAATGGGGTATTGGCACTATGGACTTGCCTTGTGTGCCTCTGAATCTCATTGTGTCCTAGCATGGAGAGTCAGAATTTTGTCTTAAAGATAATAGCTGTAATAATAGCTTTATGTGATGTTCTTGGAGGCATTAGTGAAAGGGGGGTTTTCAGTCCTGCCCGTTTTTCAGTGCTCTGTGGCACAGAAAGGCCCACAAAGGTACTGCTTGTTGTGTGGGTCATGGTATGGTTTCTTGAGAAAAAAAAACCTCCCAGGTCTGGAGCACAAATACTGCCAGATACAGAGGGGTTGGAGATCTGCTGTAGGTGGGACAGGAGTTGCCCAAATGGCCTGGAGAGGTTGGTGTGGAAAGATGACTCGCAAAATTACCTGAATTAACCATGCTGGGTGTAAAAAAAAATGATAATTCATATGGTAGAAAAGTCACTGGGAGTTACATGAAAATTACATATTGATGCCTGATACATTTGTACCCTATGTAGGGTGTTACTGGCTTTCAAACTGCTTTAAGAAGGTGATCATAAGATGCTGCTATGAAAGTTTGGGGAATTACAGTAATCACTGCAAGGATTTAGAGGATTTTCAGATGTCTTGCAGAGACAATACTAGATACTCAAGAACTTGAGATGCTTTAAGACACTGAGGCTGTTTTACTGCAATTCTTCTGGTTTTGTCATGAACTCTCACAAGCAGCATGCTGCTTTGTCATTACTGAATGATCAGCAGTTAATGTCTCACCTTGTGCAAATCACAGAAGAAATTTTCAGCCAGGTGTAAAATTGGGGTGTCCCTGACTGCTCTTTCTTATTTTTTTAAATTAAGTAGAGTCAGTGCTTCTTCATGCTTGAGTGTACTGACTTCGGCTATTTCTAAAAAAAAAAGTGTTCCCCCTGCTGTTCTCTAGCATGTAGCATGCTGGCCTACATGCAAGGTGAATGAGTGGCGTGAGTGGCTAGTAAGGCAAACCAGAGGGCAGGTTACCTGCTCAAGGTAGCAGGAGTTAAGAGAGTCCTAATTTTCATTGTATTCCCGTATTAGGGTCCGGATTTGGGCCAGGGAAGAGGAAGTGAGGAGAACAAGCAGATTTAATTTACAAACTGATTGGAAATATAGACTTCGGAGGTCTATTTTACCAGAGCGGGCTCGCTGCAATGGTGCCATTCCTGCACTAGAATTCCAAGTACGCGCCCTCCACCTCCAGTCCATGGCGCCACCACGTGCCGCTGCCGCCCCCCGGGGCGCCGTGTGTCGGCCCCGTCTCCCCCCGGGGCCACAATGGTTCGTTCCCGGGCAACGCGGGCGGGCGCCGAGCCCCGGGTTCTCTTCCGGGTTCGGGTGCGGGCGGGCGCTCTGTGGTTGCTCCTCCCCCGCCGGTTCTCCGGCCCGGGCGGGCGGGCGCTATGCGCAGGCTCGGTCCTTGCCTCAAGATGGCGGCGGTGGCGGATAAACAGAAGCACGAGCACGGGCGGGTGAAGATTGGGCACTACATTCTGGGGGACACGCTGGGCGTCGGCACCTTCGGAAAAGTCAAGGGTGAGCGGCTACAGCGGGGCCGGCAGGCGTTCGGCCGCCCGTCAGCGGGGCCCCGGCCCGCGGGAGCGCCTCTCGAAGCGGGAGTTGCGCGGGCTGAGGTGCCGGGGTGGGACTGGCGGTCCCGCAGAGGGAAGCGGTGGCTGGGGTAGAAACAGCTTCCTCATCTGTTTATGCGGAAATAGCCGCTAGAAGCTAAATGCTGCTGCGTTTGTTTAAAACGGCGCCGGGCATGTAGCGAAAGTAGGGAGTCTTAGTTCTCGAGTTATCTTTCGTAGCGTTTTGCTGCAGAAAAGTCTCGATGTCCTTGTAAGGAGGGCAGGATTTCTTTCTCTACCAACAGAGAAATAACCGTAAAAAGGTGGGTCTGGGATTGTTGGATTAACCGGCAACAGAGCTGACTCACAGTTACGGAAAGATTTTGTGCTTAGTCTGCTTGACCAGTGGTTATCAAAGTTTTTCTCAGCTCAGACTTTAAAAACTTTACACCGTAGGGGTGTAGATACTGTGCTAGTATATTTGAAGGCTCGTAAAAATAAAATAGAAGTTAAACCTACCCAGCACAGGTGGAAGAACTGTTCATTAGCTTATTCTCACTGTTCCTGCTGTGTTGCTTGTGAGAACTTCAGATATTGGGGCAGGGAAACTGACAATATCTTTTCGCAAATGAGTTGAGTTAAGCTCAGTCTATATTGTTCATATTTTTTTTTTTTTTTTACTTAGTGGGTGGTTGCTATTATAACCAGTAAAAAACACACAGCTTTTTTTTTTTTCAGTGTAGATGTTCCATTGTATGTGTTCTGCACAAGCTCTTTCAACTGTTGGCATGTTCTGAAGACGTTACTAATGTATAGGAAAGAGGATATTTTTCTCTGGGAATGCAGTGGAAAATATTTTGAGAGCAGAGCCTCTTTTTCAAGGCACTTGGGAGTAGTGACGCCTAACTGGCAGCTGGGATACCATTCTTTTCCTTGGGAATTTTCTTTCCTTAAATAAAGAGAAAATAATATAGCCCAGAAGACAGGCATCAGGCTCTCCTTCCCCATGAAGGGACCATATGGTTGAGGGGAGGAGTCAAAGATGTCTTTGTTTTGGGTTTTTTACCCAGCACACTGCACAAAACTGAAATTGACATACCATCAATGTTTTAATATGCTCTTAAATTTAAGAGAGCTCTGTTGTACCCCTGCTTTTCTTATCCCTATGTGATCTACTGTGTTACTTTTGCTTTAGCTGTGTGTGATAAAGGACATTTTATTTATGATGCACTGATTTTCCTCCTGGGCACACATTTTCTTCATTTAATACCAGATCTGTGTTTTCCTCTAATTCTAATAATTTTCATATGGTTTCATCAATTGACATAATGTGAAAACCTGTAATAAATGTGTTCACTTCTTAAAATTCAGTTAGAATTGTCATTGAGCTCAAGTGATGTAGGGGGTCAGGCATATGGCTCCTTGAAAGTGGATGTTTAATTTTAACAGCGATGGCAGCCTGAAAACATTGAAGTGGAAAAACAGATTTTACTTGGTAATTGTTGAATGTCTCATGCTGTCAGATGAATTCACCCTGCTGCTTACCGTAGATGCTAAAATGCCAAAAGTGAAAAGCTGTGAGATAGAAGAATATTGAACTTAAACCAACTATATGAGACACATTCTCATTGAAACTTTACCATGATTCAGTGTGAAACATCTATCCCTAAGGTTGTCAATTTTTTCTTTAAACATTGCTGTTGTTTTCTGCTGAAACCAAATGCAAACTTTTATTTCCAGGTATTTTTTGATTTTAAGTGAGTTTTCATAAAAGGAAGAGTATTCAGGCTTCCAGTGTTCCATACTGAGAAAACGAGGGGTACTACTTCAGGCTGTAAATACACAAGAATTGTTCCAGGCCTCTAGATCTAAGTTATCAGTGCTAGTCTGTATAGATTTCAGACATAACGAAAGTAGGTGGTGTTTATCAAGGCAACAATAAGGGACCTGGAAATGGATAGTGAAGATCAGTATGATGTGTAATGTTGTGCAGCAGGTTGGCTTTGCACACCGTGAACTACCGTTTGGGGTTTTTTTCATGTTAGTGAAAACATTTGTTTATCCCATACTTTTAAAGGCTGCTTTCGTCTGAGCTTTGAGTTGGCTTTTTTGGCTTATTGCAGAATTGTTTCATTGAATACAACATAAGCTTGTTCAGCTTTTTTTTTTTTTTTTTTTTTTTTGCTACTCACTTAATGACTGATACTTCTATTTCATGGGAATGTTGTATTTACTCTGGATGGCCTCACTATCAGTTTTTTCCAATTGAAGAATTGCTGAACTAAGTTTGAGACCCTTGCTCCTGCACTTCAGCTGTTAAATGAAGTTGCTGCTGCTTTGAGACTGTCACTGTCTTGGAAGTCTTGCTGCTGTGCAAAGCCGCAGTGAAGCTTGAAGGCAATTGATATTATCAGAGAATAAAGAAATACAGGGAGATACTAGGTCTGTTAAGTGAACTTTTTTTTTGGAGATTGCTCTGAAGGGCTGGTAGGTAGTTGAGGATTAGGGTGATAAACATACCTTTTGGTTACTTGAAATTTGTTTGCGCTCCCTTTTATAGGTAATGCGAAGTAGCTTTCAGAAGGATAACACTGACTGCTTATGTGTCTACATGGTGATATCGTCCGAGATGATGCTTTCAGCTCTGTCCTAATCCCGAATTCAAAAGTGTCAGCAGTCTGTTACTAGTCTGTGTCTGACGTTTTACGTAACGGATACCATATCCAAGAAAACAGTTTTATTTTATGATGTGGATGATTATTGAAAACTTGTATCTTAAAAAGTTAGATGTGTTATAATTTTATGTTGAATTAAAGGGAGGCAAAAATTACTGAATTTGAAATGTTTTAAGCAAGAGAACAGGCTTTTTGGGATCTTTCTGCACCCAACCAAACCACAGTGTGTTTTCATTACAGTCATTTATTCAAAGTTGGCAGAGTTGAAGAAGCAGGAAATCTTGTTTTCTCCCAGTCAGTGAATAAAATTAAGGCTTGAGGCACACAGCCTTGAAGGCTATGACAGCTAGAATTGGTTTCAGTCAACTGCAAATGTTAGTTTAGTTACTTTGAATGAAAAATTTATTTTGAAAAACTTTTTTTGTGTGCCTTGCATATTGAACAAAGCTTGTAGCTAATAAATGACTTTATAATGTTTTTCTGAGTGCTAAGGAAGTTCTGGTCTAACATAGACTGACAAATCAAAAATGGAACAAATTGGCTCAAAAGTGAGGCTTTATAGCATATATACAGAATCCTTTATACACATAACACAGAACTGCATATATATAGATGCTAAGCTGTAGAATTGGTCAGATATATATGCTACTTACTATATTAAACATGCACCTTGTAAAGCAAAGGAAGATGCAGATTCATTCTGATTTTTGGTTAGTTTCTGAGAAGCTGTTTCTTAGTAACAAAAACTAATGTTACATTTAAACCTACTGTTTAAAGATTTTTTTCAAATACTTATAGCTTAGTTCAGTTCCCATTATGGATGGGCAAAGACCTTGTAATTCAAACGGAGGAGTTGATTTTCTTATTTTTTATGTTGAAGATTCTTTACCCCTTAGGGTTTTAACATAGGTGATATAATTTGCTGGATTGCTTTGAAACTTGAATCACATTTGAGCTGAAGAAAAGAAGGGGGTTGTGATTGCTTTAATTGTTGATCTAGTTCAAAGCAGATAATTCTCATACAGTTCCAGGCACTCACCTATCACTGCTTTGTGCTCTCTCTAGAACTTGTGGTGGATGTGGGCTTTGTCCTGCATTCCTCAGCAGTGGAAATGTGCCTGCCCAGTACTATGGTTATTGTGGCCATTTTTAGGTACTGGCTTCTGAATGAAGGGATATGTCTTTTCACCTTGAAGGCAGAGCCTTTCTGTGTTCTCAGGTACTAGAGATGTCTGAGTGCAGCATTGTGATGGTTCAGGGTCTTGGATAATCCACTACTGAGTTCCCTGCAGGAATTTAGAATGCTTTATTTACACAGTGGCTTGTAAGAATAACTGCTCAGATGCTTGTCATTATCTTTGCCTCTCTGCTAAGAATTTCTTCTCACTTGCATTGGTGTTTGGCTCAGTATTGGGGCAAAGGGCAGCGGGAAGATCTTGTGTTGTGAATAAAGTTTGCAGGTGGGTGTTATTCTGTCCAAATTATCTGTTGAATGCAGAAGGATTTTTGTTTGTCACTGCTGTTTAATCACAGCTTCCCATGAATATATTTAAACAAAGTTTGAAGCCTGGAGCTTATTTAAATTCTCAAGTGAGGGGAGGCACCCAGATAGTATATTCAGCACAGGCCTGTTAGTAATGTCTATTCATGTGGACAAGGATGGACCATGTCGGTGTCCCTGTAATTTGGCTTATCTTCAAAATGTTGGAATCAGGGTGGCAAATAAATATGGTATATTTATAATTACTGCAAGCAGAAGCCATGCAGATAGTGCAGCTTTCTAGTGGAAGAGATATTTAGCTTCTAAATGTTTTATCTGTGATCCAGTGTTGGGTTTAAGAAAAATATTCTTAACAACTTCATTGTGACTACTTGCAATAGCTCCTGCAAAGTTTAAGTCTTAAAGAGGGGCAACTGATTGGGAAATATTTTACAGTTTAAAGAAAAATTAAACTCCTCAGATTCTTTTCCACTTCCAGGAATGTATGAGGTTGCATGTTTGCATTGTTTTTCATTGTTACTGTTGCATTTCATTTTGTGCATTTCTGGTAACTTTTGCCACTTACTTTATATAGTAAAGCTCTGGTGTTAACTGCACAGACTGTGAGCTTGTAGAGCATCAGACTGGTCCAAGGACAGATACATTTTTGTAGGTAAACTGATCAGATGCTCATAGTGGTAATTCGGAGCAATTGCTGAAACAGGCTTCTTGAAGGAGGGATAATATCAATTTCTTTAGTAGAGTGATCTCTGCAGATAAAGTTGAAGAGATACAGGAAAACATGTTTGAGTGGGTTACCAAGTAAGCCAAAAGCTTGGAGTGACTTATACAGGGAGAGAAAATGCTCTCTAATTAGCAAGGATGGCAGGGTTTCAGGATATGCTTTGTTTTTGTTTTTTTCCAATATTGCAAAAAATGTAGTCATGCTGTGAGACTTCTGAGGGTACGCTTCAATGTTTTTCTTACATAGACACATCTTCTAATGCTTGAATTGTGGAAGAAGTTGGAGCAGGGCAGAAGAAATTACATACCATCTGATTTTCAACCTCCCTAAAGATAATGGGGATATGTGGAATGCTAACACCTTAACTTCTATTTCTTGGTTACAGTCAAAATGGGCAAATCAGGTCTTTACTGAGCAGTTGAAAACCCTAACTAAATACTTCCTTGTTTCTTGCAGTTGGAAAACATGAGTTAACTGGACATAAAGTTGCAGTGAAGATCCTGAACCGACAGAAGATTCGCAGCCTTGATGTTGTAGGAAAAATCCGCAGGGAGATTCAGAACCTCAAACTCTTCAGGCATCCTCATATAATAAAGCTGTAAGTTTTGTTTGCTGTAATCAAACATATTTAAGCAGTAATCTCACTGATCTGAAATATGTTTAAAGGGCAATACTACAAACAATATCTTGTCAAAAAAGTAACCAGCTTCAAAATCTGCAGCTGTGCCCTCTGTAACATACTTTCACAAAACTTATCTTTCCTGCAGGCTGGACAGCTTCCCTTAGATCTTTGCTTAGAAATTCTTTGGACAGGTATATAAAAGGTAATGTCATGACAGATACTTCTAGTAGCATCCATCTCTGATTTTAGAGGCTACTTCATTTTTGTTTTTCTGTTTATATTTGATCTTTTTTTTTCTGCTTAGAAAATGAGTTATTAAGAACAAATCTGTAAAGGTCATTCTTACAGTAAGTTTATGGTATTTTCTCAAAATGTTCTTAGTGATGTGCTGGTCAGCGATCTCTGTTTTTTCAGTGTAGATTGCTCTCAGGAAGCTTTTTCTGTGTTTAAGAACATGCAGTTTGTTGTATGTGATTGATAATTCTAAAATCTTCAATATAGCAGCTACCCCGTGTCTAAATGTGGTATTTACAGTATGCCTGTTTACATTTCTTAGTTTATCCATAGTTCATCAGTGGATGTCAGAGTACAGCTAAGTATATCCCAGAACAGACTCCTCATGTCTGGTCTGCGGAAACAAATTATAAAAATAATTGACTTTCTTTTGACTGTAATTTCCTGCAAAGTTAACCTGCACCTCTAGAGTGTAGGTGACTTTCACTGTCTTAGTCATGATGTTGGTGTTTTTTTATTGGTAGAATCTTGCTTCCCTACTGCCAGTGACAGATGCTATGTTTATGCAATCCCTTTAATTTGGCAACAGCTGTTACACTGAAGCTGAATTGTATTGTGTAAGATCAACTCACTCACTTCTGAAGTGGGTTAGTTTTTAGAAGACTATTGAGCTGATTTGTCAGCAAAATTGCTTGTGCTGCCAGTTAGAGTCCATGAATGAGTCCAAAGGACATAGCTGTAGCCAAAGCAAAATAGGAAGTGTCACTATACCAATTGAAATATCAACATGAAAAATGAAAGAGGCAACAGTGAGAGGAAATAGCTTCTGAAACATATTGTCGTTCCAGTAGCTGTAGATTGACTGAAAAAATATTTTAAAGTATATTTTTATCTGACTGTTTGTACACCTTTTAACTAAATGTAACTACTCTTTTACTGAGTGTGTAGACTAATAGATACCTTCTATTATCAGGTACCAGGTCATCAGCACACCCACTGACATTTTCATGGTGATGGAATATGTTTCAGGAGGAGAACTGTTTGATTACATCTGTAAAAATGGAAGGGTAAGAAGTAAGCCAACTTTGCAAATCGGTGACTTGAATTGTGTTATTGCTTTTGCAACATTCCTGTGTCACCCCACACTGAGGGGACAGACAAATTTGTTTCGGGTATCCTTGCTAGAATGGTACAATTAAAGGTTTATTTTGTCTACAGAATATTATGATTAGCACAGGATTTATGATTAGAGTAGCACAGGCTTTCAGTGAGCAGAATCAATGCAGTACAGTTTATAAATAGTTTAGTACGGAATTTCTAACACAACTTAACTTATCAAATCACCCAGACCCTCTGCAGATCTAGTCAAATCTTAATACATATTCTTCTGTGTCAATATAACAATCACAGTCTAGACTTGAAAATCATATGAAAGAATACAAGTGACTCAGTTCTCCGAGGAAGCAGGGTATTGTGGAGGCATCTGTAGCCACTGAAAAGTCATGAGTCTCATTCCCACTTATGATTTGTAACTGTTTGATGATAAAAGACACTGCTCAGGCTCCTGTTGCACTTCCTTATTCCATGACACGAGGCCGGCTGGTTGCCTGGGAACTAAAGGCTGGTAAGGAAGTGGGTAATCAGCCTTACATCCAGGACTCTTGAGGCTGGTGGGGAGGGTGAGAAGTCTGGTTTGTCTGCTTGGTTCACAGGATCTTCAGGGCCTGATAATGAGGGAAGGAGCATGAACACATGACTCACTTGGTCACAGATGGCTGCTTGCATCATAAAATGGAGTTATTAAGCTATCCTCATTATCAGGGGCTGGGACCGGGGGCCCAGTCACACTTTGTTAAATGAAGGTGTGTTTTCGTGTATTCTGCTTTAATTTTGCTGTTATCAGTTAAAATACACTTTATGACTGTGTTTTGTTCCAAAACTACAAGTGGTTATGTGTTAGCGCATTTCAGATCTTTATGTGTGACTTTGTCATAGCATTTTTCCTCTTTACTAATATGTTAATTTTCAATGGCAGAGTACAAACTAGATTGATATGTATCTAGCTGGAGTGGCTGAAAACTGTTTCTTCAGTAAAACCCAGTATTGAAAAGCTATCAGTAGTAATTGTGCACTTATTACTGTCTTTAAGTCTTAGAACAGCTTCTGTGAAAGCTCCGAAGTCGCCTCGAGAGACTGTATAGAATACTTCATTTAGTTGTTAGGGAAAAATTTCCTCTAGCTCATACAAATGAAAACAAGTTAACTTCCACTGTCTCATAATGGTTTAAAATCTTTGTCTATTTTAGCTTGATGAGAAGGAAAGTAGGCGTCTGTTCCAGCAAATCCTTTCTGGTGTGGATTACTGTCACAGGCATATGGTGGTACATAGAGATCTGAAGCCTGAAAACGTGCTGCTTGATGCACACATGAATGCCAAGATAGCTGACTTTGGTAAGGATTTCTTTTTTGTGTCTGATTGCATCTCTGGTGTTAGAACCTGTTAATAGCTATGGGAAACATTAACTAAAGTGTGTATACTTGAATATCCTGGTGGTGGGACACAATACAAGAGCATCAAGAGTATAAATCTAAAGCAAAATAATGTTCCTGCACATCTACTAAACTTGTTTTCCTCTCAAGCTTGTTTTTCAAGTATTTTCTGTGGCTAGGTCAAATTGTGAACTACTTTCTTTGGTTTTCCTTAACAGTACTTTCTCTGAAATGCTAAATGAACTTAGTTCCTGACCTTTCCACTTCAGAACTCACTGCTGTTGCCTGCCTTCACAATCCGTAAAATGTAGGTGCTTGGAAGGACAGTGCAGGAGCAGTTCACCATCTTTAAGAACCCCAATGCAATAGTAAAAGAAACTAGTCCTCCTATTAAATTAGACTGTTGAAAGAAAAAGAAATTAAAGTGTAAAAGTAAAAATAAGAACAGTTAAGTCTTGCAACCTCCTGTGCTTTTTTGCTATGTATGTGCTTAACTAGTCAAAAAGCTTATTTTTCATAGCTGTTTGTGACACAGTTGCAGAGAAGCCTTGCCACTAGTCCTTGGAACTATCTGAGTCAGGAACCCTTACCATATAAGCATAGTAGGGTATCTATGCTGCTATGTCATGATGATATATCTCATGTAGTCATAGTGGATAGGCCCTTGTAAAGTATTTTGAGTCTCCAGTGAAAGGTGCTAGGTAATGTTGAGTATTCTAAGTATGTTTTAAAATTGTGTTCAGCTATGGGCCCTGGGAATCATACTGATTTCTCGTGTGTAGAAAATGCTGTGGGTGAAATGGCTTACATGGCAAAGGAATGAAGTACAGTAACTTAATGTCAGTAAAACTGTAGCACTCAGTTAATCATGACTAGTTAATAAAACCTTTTGTGTATTAGGATATGAAAGCTAGTCAAGCCGTACTCTTTCATCTCCACACACCACCACTACCCCACTGCACACTCCCTGCTGCCCCATAAAAGGGCTTCCTTCTTGGAGACTGAGTTCTTTGGCTTATGGTAGTCTTGATCATGCAGCTTCTATTGAAGAAACTAGAAGATATTTTCCACAGGTCTTAGACTTTACTGAGGGCTGGTAAATGAAGATGGTCTAGTTCTAAAGCAGACTTTAGTTGCTAACAGAGTATCTAAAACTAAATTGCTGAACTGCAGTGATTCCAGAACCAGCTGAACAGTGCAGCAGTTTAAATTGTGGTGAAGTCATGTTTATTCCTCAGCTCCCCTTAGAGAATTCTGGGAAATTCTGTGGTAGTGTCTTTCACTTCGGCATTTTAGAAGCAAATGTGTTTTTTAGCACTTTCGTGTTAATGAGCAAAGTCCTATCTTGCTATTCTGCTTCATCTCTCTTAGAGCAGCTTTGTTCTCTGTCACGCCTGTGTCATCCAAACTGAACTGGTTTTTGTCTTGGAATGAATATGTTTTCAAACATTATGGCAATAATGTTGATGTTACTCAGATTTCTGGTAAACTAAATAGAGGATTATGTGGCACGGTCATATGAGAATTTCAGTAACTCCAAACAATGTTATTTCTTAACTGTGATAAATTTGTTAATTTTCTACTTTGATTTACTAGTGGTTTGTTCTAGGCGGTATATGCAGTGTGAAATCGTTTTGCTCCCTGAATTTTTAGTAGTTACTCTTATACACTTTCAGGTCTATCAAATATGATGTCAGATGGAGAATTTTTAAGAACAAGCTGTGGTTCCCCTAACTATGCTGCACCAGAAGTAATTTCAGGAAGGTAGTTTCTTTTATATTGGATACATGTGTGCATGTACTTCAGTCATTTTGCTGCTTGATTCTAAAGGCTACAAAACTAGTTCAGTTGACAACCTTGATGCTGAGAAACTCTGGGCTGTTAGTGGTATTGATAATTTTTCATGAATATTTAAAGCTTCTGTGAACTAGCTTTGAATAATTCCTGTAAAGTAGAGCTGATGTCTGATGCCCCAAATCCAGTGTGTACAATATGCCTGAATTGGTTTAAAAATCTCATGTACAGCTCATACCTTGGAAGGAAAGGTGCAGGCAAAGCCTGCTGTGAGGTTGAGTAGCAGTGAAATACCTGCTGCAGAACAGATACTCAGTCTGGAGGTAACTTGCCCTCTTGTGGACTATGATTGTCAAATCTGCCCTCAGTCAACTACCCTCATTTTGTCAATTGTTGATTGGAGACCAGATGTCTGTTTTACTCTGGCAGTAGCACACAATGTGTGATGGGTTCTGCTATATGGACTTGTCTTAAACTTTTTGGCCTCGATTTGGGAGATAGGTGACTTTGCACCTTGACTTTCCTCTAAGACATTAGTAACAATTTACGACATAGGCTTTTTTAGTAGTAGATGCATGTTTTTTTTCAGTTTGCCATTGTTTGAAATTTCATTGTGGATTATTTTTATATAATGGAGAGGAAAGCTCTGTACTTATGCCCTGTTACATATTAGAAGAGGAAGGACATTAAAGTTCAAGGGAGGCATGGCATAGAACTGAAATGGTATAGTACTTGCACATCAGTTGTCCTAAGTTAATGTGCTTTTAATTACTGTGATACAATGTAAGAAAGTTGAAGAAAGAAATATTTAAATGTATTGCACACAAATAACTAATAGTTAATCTTTTCACAGGTTATATGCAGGCCCAGAAGTAGATATTTGGAGCAGTGGGGTCATTCTCTATGCTCTATTATGCGGAACACTTCCATTTGATGATGATCATGTGCCAACCCTTTTTAAGAAGATATGTGATGGTATCTTTTATACCCCTCAGTACCTGAATCCATCTGTAATTAGTCTTTTGAAGCACATGCTGCAAGTGGATCCAATGAAGAGAGCAACAATCAGAGACATTAGGTAAAACTCTAACTGATGTCTGATCACCAGATGATGGAATTACAATGGTGCAAATCTGGAGAGCAAAGAAATCATTCATACAGCTTGTGCATGTTTTTTAGACTGAGATGAAAAATTCGGCTTCTGGTGGTTCGGTTTTAGCTCTGACAGTGCTCATTTTCAGTGGACAATGAAATATCTATTGGAGATCACAGTAAAACAAATTATGTTATATATAGAAGTTCTGAGAAACTTTAGGTTTAAGACTGCCATAGCAAAGCTGTTTACCTGTAGAATGCTTTGCAAAAATTACACTATATAGACTTCTCTGGGTAGAAAAAAATTGTCTTAGCTGTTAAGAACCACTCTTCTGTATTGTACATGTCTGAGGAAGCTCTTTAATCTGATAATAAAAAAGTTGTTGAATAATGTTGGTTACAGAGCGTGGATGGATTATAAATCCTTAACAGTTCTGTTTAGAACAACTAAATAACAGAACTAAACAACTGAAGCAAAAGTCATCTTGTTTAGTAAGGAACAAAGAAGCTTCTCCTAAGAGGGAGCAGGGGAGGGAGTCAGAAGAGGCAGCCCTTTCTGCAGCAGAGCAACCATAAGAAGAGGAGGAGGAGGAGGAAGGGACTGAAATTATAAATGAGAGAGAAACCACCTGATCCCTATCCCTAAATTATCTGGGAGATAGCAAAAAGATTTCAACCATCAACCAGGTGAGCAAATTCTCAGCTGGTTACTCCAATGCTGGGATGTTGGGGCCAAAAGTCAGGAATTAGAGGGTGAGGAAGCCTGGCAGCTGGGATCCCTTGCTTGGGATAAGGCCATTGACAACAGGATTGTAAAAGGATGAGGAGTCTTCAGTCTTTGGAGGTGAAGAAAGGTATCCCTTCAGAGAAGGTCTTGCAAACTCCCTAAGCAAATGGACCATCGCTGGAGGAGGTATATCCTATATCTGAGAGAATTAGCTGTAGTGGAGGTGATCTGTAGCAACCTGGATGACAATCATGTATCCAAAGACTGGTGAATATAATTTTATATAAAAAGCTGGTTGATGAGTTATAGAAAGATGTTTTTGGAGCTCAGGTAGTTGAAAACCTTACAGTGAAAAGGATTGGGTTTTTTTCAGTCTCTTGCAAAATATCTACTAAAATCTTGTGCAGGCGGTGGTTAACTTTATGTGCTGTTGTATTTCCTGTGTTCCAGGGAGACTTCGACTGGCAACTGTGATTCTTCTTGTACAGACTAAAATGAATTTTATTTTTTTAAAGATTTTCGTGTTAAAAATGTTTACGTTACTTACATGCACTCAGAATTTTTTATTTTTAATTCTAGGGAACATGAATGGTTTAAGCAGGACCTTCCAAAGTATTTGTTTCCTGAAGACCCCTCATATAGCTCTACCATGATTGATGATGAAGCCTTAAAAGAAGTGTGTGAGAAGTTTGAGTGCACTGAAGAGGAAGTGCTAAGTTGTCTGTACAGCAGAAATCATCAGGACCCTTTAGCTGTTGCTTATCACCTCATTATAGATAACAGAAGAATAATGAATGAGGCCAAAGACTTCTACTTGGCTACAAGTCCACCAGATTCTTTTCTGGATGATCACCATCTGTCTCGCCCTCACCCCGAAAGAGTGCCATTTTTAGTAGCTGAAGCACCACGTCCTCGCCACACTCTTGATGAGCTGAATCCACAGAAGTCAAAACACCAAGGTGTGAGAAGGGCTAAATGGCACTTGGGGATCCGGAGTCAGAGTCGACCAAATGATATCATGGCTGAAGTTTGTCGAGCAATTAAACAACTGGATTATGAATGGAAGGTAACAAAATAGAGGATCTTTACAGCAAACAATACATTTTTGTTTGAGCTGTGTAGTTACATAGCCCAGAGGTCTGAAACTGTATTTTCGCATACTGGGATATGATCTCATATGCCTGTGCTGTGCAAGAAGGGTTTTGGGGGAGGCTGTTCATGCTGACAGGAAAATAAGTTGTGCTAATATGTCTAAGTTTTCTGTTGGGGCTGTAGGAATATTTTTTTTTTCTGTTGGCTAAAAAAACCCCAAAACCAAAAACCACACAAAACCCCCCCACAACCCACAAATCCAACGGGTAAGCTTGTAATCGCTTGATAAATACTAGTGAGTTGAAATGACAAAAACAACATGCAGTGATTTGCAAGCTGTTCTGGTTACTGACTCATCTCCTTTGTACTAGGTTGTAAATCCATATTATCTGCGTGTTCGAAGGAAGAATCCAGTAACAAGTGCATATTCCAAAATGAGTCTACAATTGTATCAGGTGGACAGCAGAACATACTTACTGGACTTCCGCAGTATTGATGGTATGTGAAGAATTACTTAAATTAATTGAGTTGTAAGGGAAATCATTCTAAATGCAAACATAATTTATTTACTTAGAAGTGTTGCCCTTTATTATTTTAAACCAATCTAATCTGTATTAGTGTTTCTTTATTCCTTCCTGATCTAGTGTTCCTTTTTTTTTTTCCTCCTTACTGAACTATGTTTATTTCTACTTGTGAGTTTTCTCACTTTGCCCTTCAAATTTTCTTCCTGATTGTGCTGAGGTATCAGCTGCCAGGCAGAGTCAACCCACCAGTGCTAATGGTAGCTAAAATCTGAGACAGGAATTGTATGCTTGCAGTAACTAAAGTCTTGAAAACATTTGGTCTAATCTGTAGAAAGAGATATTTTATAGAGTGGCAGTAGCAGACCATCAAATCCTGGTTGGATGTCTTCCTGGAAATGAGTGGAGGAGCTAATAAACACTGACCACAATGCTTGTTTATGGGCATAGTAGAATAAAGCCAAATTACCTACAGCCAGTGGTGTAGATGACTAGCCTAGGAAAACATTGCATTTATTGAAGTGTGGCTTCATTACAGCATAGGATGGCTAAGACTGTGTCCCATGACAGTTTAATCTGATATGATTTAGCCATACAGTTCTTGCCTTGTTTCTTCTAACAGTACAGGTACTTGCTTAGATCCAGTGGTGCTTGACTGAAGGGACCAGTAGCTGTCCTGTGCTAATTTACTGCAATATAGGACAAATGCCGAAGACAGAAGTTCTCCGTCAGCCTGCACCTCAGGAAGTCCCCCATCATCCCCACATCGCCATTGGCCAATCAGAGCTCAAATCAGTCCAGCAGTTTAATTACCTAGGTAGCCTCATCTCCTCGGATGGTAAGATTGACGGGGAGATAGACAACAGGTTAGCAAAGGCATACAGTGCTTTCAGAAAGCTTCATAAAAGAGTTTGGCAAAACAAACACCTGAAGAAAAGTACCAAGATCAGTGTTTACAGAGCCATGGTGCTGTCTACTCTCTTATACGGATCTGAATCATGGGTCATCTACCGCCACCACCTGCGACTCCTACAATGCTTCCATCAACACTGCCTCCTAAACATCCACTGGTCAGATTTTGTGACCAATACATCTGTTCTTGAACAGGCAGCAGTCACAAGCATTGAGGCCATGTTGATGAGAACACAGCTGCGTTGGGCAGGGCACGTCTCCAGGATGAAGGACCACCGCCTCCCTAAGATCTTGCTTTATGGCGAACTTGCCGCTGGCTGCCGCATGAGAGGAGCCCCGAAGAAAAGATACAAGGACTCCCTGAAACAACATCTCAGCCTTGGCCATATTGACCACCATAACTGGTCTACTCTGGCCTCCAATTTGGAGACCTGAAGACACACCATCTATAACGCTGCTGATGCTTTTGAGAAAGCACGCAGGATCACCCTTGAGGAGAAAAGGCAACGCAGAAAGAATCGTGCCTTGCAGAATATACCATCTAAGGAGTCTTTCTGCTGTGCCTTTTGCAACCGGACATGCCTGTCTCGTATTGGCCTTTTTAGCCACCAACGCGCTTGCAACAAACGTGGGTAGAGCCCTTCCCAAATCTTCGTTCGCGAAGCCCAGCCGTGATGATGAGGAGGAGGACAAATGCCATCCCTATTGGAGAGGGGATGACTGCTTAGAGCCATGCAGCTGGGGGAGAGCAGCCTGCTACAGTCCTGGTTTTAACTCTTAGGGAAATACAACCCAAGGTCGTGGATTTGTCATATTTCTTCCAGCAGTAAAGCTGATTTGATGTTCCTTTCTCTCCACCATGGTTAACTATTCTCTGTTCCACTTAATTTGTACTTAAAAATAGCTTTGTGTAAACAGGAGAGATTACCTTGTCACTTATTTGTCCTGAAATAACTTCGCAGGTGCCAGGTTAGAGTCAAGTTAATGTTCAGTATTTAAAGTAAGAATTAGAGATGCTTCATCATAACACTACCACTAAGAGGAAACTATTTCCTCCTTATACTGAAGGTAAATGTATGCTGCTGCAGTACAACATTCTAGGTGAAAAACTTCCAGAATTGAAGGATAAATTAATGCAGATGTTAGCGATTAATTTAATATACTAATCATAATAAAATCATAATAAAAATGCAAATAATAACAATGTATAAATACCCAAATATAAAAAATAAAAATAGAATAAAGTGGATGCAAGCAAAAAACATCTACAAAACATTTGAACTATTACTGAACTTAATCTTACGCTATCTTGTTTTTGTTTTAAGTAACCTAAACTGAACTATTAGCTGCTGAAATAAGTTCATGAAAAATATGGCTGGTGCTGATCTAAACTAGATGTAAATGGTTGTGGACCATAGTTTAGAGTACAGAAATAATTAGCATAAGGACACCAGCTTTTGTGTTACTATGTATTTAAGCTTTTATTTTGTATCAAATATACAGTTTTCAAAAGCTATTTATGTATTAATCAAGATTTTAAAAGACAAGATTTGGAGGTGTGAGAAGGGGAAGGTATTTGCTTTTCCTATAACTGATTTGATACTGATTCCCAGTTTTCCTCCTCTCTTCTCTTGCCCCCAGATGAAATTACTGAAGCGAAGTCTGGGACTGCAACTCCACAGAGATCAGGTTCTGTGAGCAACTACAGATCTTGCCAAAAAGATTCGGATGCTGATGTGCAAGGAAAATCTGCAGATACGTCCCTTACCTCATCAGTGAACTCTTCGCTTGACTCCTCCACAGCTGACGTAACTCCAAGACCAGGGAGTCATACAATAGAATTTTTTGAGATGTGTGCAAATCTGATTAAAATACTTGCACAATAATTTTGAAGATGGGCTTATTTCTTTTATAGCAATAAGCATGCCTAAATCATAGTCAGATGCTTCCAGTTATAATCAAGTTAAATTAACTAAGGCGCTGAAAAAGCTAGCCACAATGCAATTTGCACGGGGATTAAAATTAGTATGGGCAGTTAGCATATATTATTTTGAAGCTCGAGTGAATTCTGATTGCCTGCTGCCCAATGGCATAACACAGGTACAGGAAATAACATGCCCTTTGGGTAGTGTTTATAATATTTTACATTGAGTGCACATTAGCTTGCATATAACATTTAAATTAGATGGACCTCCTTGGTTTTTTCACTGGTAATACATATGCCTGATGCACTGTAGGTAAATGTACACTTACTAGTTCAGTGACCCAAATATGACTTGTTGGTCACCCTCTACAGTTGTGACTCAGTTGGTCAAAACTATCATTAACAGTAATGTGTTAAAACTGCTATGTTTCTTCCCCCTTATTTGACAGTAAATAATAAAGACTAGTTTGATATGTTACAATGTACTATTTCTAACAATACATTTTATTACATGCATGCAAATCCAGCCAGTTGGAAATGTGTGCAGGTGCTCTTTAATGCACTGAGGGTGAAGTTCTGTTGGCAGTGAGTAGAGCAATTGAGTCCACAACAGCAGTAAGAGACTTAATGCTGAGAAGACTTGGCACTCCGTGGGCTAAATGAAAATGTTGCAGTATGGAGAACTGTGAGCAAGCCCCTGGTCTGTGCATATACCTTAGCGTGCTAGTAGCACAGCAGCTCCTACTGCAGGCTGAGAATCCTTTTTCTTAGAAACAGTTAAGGGCGCACAGCTTAAGGGCGGTTTCCTGCTATTCCAGAATCTAAAATTGACAGTTTTTTAACATACAAGTTTATACTTTGATACAGCTGGTTATCACATGTTAACTTAGGATATACTGTGTAGTGTTCGCTTTGCAGTTAAAACTACATATACAGGTTTTTATTTTTTCCCAAGCTGCCTTAATAGCAAACTTTGCTATTTAATGTAACTGAATTAAAGTCTAACTTCTCAATAGAACGTTGAAAACTGATCATAACAACTTGAGTGCTAATATTGAGAAAGTTTTCAATAGTAAATCACAATTACCCATAACAAAAATCTTTCTGCATTTACAGTTTTTGCAACATTTTAGGAAGAAAATTGAACTTGATATGTTAAAATGGCAGATAGTACTTGTACCTTTAGCCTCTTGCAAATTGGATGTAATTAGCCACAGTTCCATTTTCATCTAGCCCTTATTAGACATAAACAGTCATAAAATATTTAGGTTTGCATTCAAGAATTAATGTTCCCTTCAAAATAATCTTCATGACCTACTAAGTTTCAAGGGATAGGCTGGAAATCCAGGCATTACTATGAGCAGTGAAACCTGGACTCTTCAAATGGATGGCAGTTCTTGCCAATGACTGAGGTTTTATTCATGGGAGACTGCTAGCTACAGATATAAGAACAGTTTAATCCTGGCCACCTGGCATCAGTCCAGAAATTAATGTTTTGATTATGCACAGAATCTGAAGAAACATAAAGCTGCTTTAAACCCAGCTTCTGTAACTCTGTTCTGAACTGGGCGATTGTGAGGTCTGTCTAGTAGGTGGGTACTAGTTACAACTTCATTTCTTTATTCTCAAGTGTCACACGTGGTCTCTGTAGGGACTTTGGCTGTATCACTGTACCTCAAAGTGGAACATAAAGTTTTGCATTTAAACTCCCGAGGTTCAGATGTCAATATGAGGGACCAGTTCCAAATCCTACAATAAAGTCCTGTTTTTAGTCTTTGAAGAATTGGTTCTGGTGTACTGAATAAATCAGTGTTCATTTTTGTAATCCTTTTATTTCGAAATTACTAAATATTGCACTTGCATAAACACTACAAACGCACAGGTTTTTAAATTGCAGTAATTCCTCTTCTGGAATTGGTTTGGGATCACTTACATATGCTAAACTATTTATAAATAGTATCTGCTCCTTGTAATGCTGACAACAAATGCCAGGTGTCAAGGTGCAAATAGCTTTTAATTTTTATATACCTTTTTGGCCCTCTTGTGCATTAAGACAACCATGTTTTTTCCTTAGTTTCAGTAATCTGGAGGTTAAAGCAAGTTTCTGGCAGAAGTGTACAATACGTGTATTTTAAATAAAGTAAATTTTTATTGGTATGGTGGATCAGTTTTGATGGTCAAAGGTTTTTTGATTGAACCGAGATTTTTATAGGGAATGGGAGGGGTAGAAAGGGGCACTAACAACCTAGTTGAACCCAGTTGCCTATTGTGTGACTTTCCTATGCTTTGTAGATCTTGCTGTTGAAATTGCTTTCTTCACATGTTCCTATTGATCTTGCAGACCTTTAGCATTGCAGTAGAAGCTGCCAATGGGCTGTGAAATGGAACTTCACTAGAGAGTTGCCAGAGTTGTAAGGAGGCAGCTTATGGAAATACACAAATTGGTCAAGTGTGTTATCTGTATTCCCAAGCGCACTCCTTTTGGAGTACAATGAATTATCTTGCCTTTGTATTGTAACTTTTTCAATAACATGGATGAACCTGACTGTCCATGTGCAATATAACTCACTAGGTAATGGATAAAAATTCATCTTGGTTGTGCAATATTAAAAAAAACTTTCATGTTTGTCTTGATATTAGTGTTTAATACAAACTTTGAACTAAATTTTATTTTACCAGTTGATTACCATTGTAAGATATGAAGTCCTATTCTTTAACAAATATGTGCCTACTTCCTCTTAATTTCTTTCGACAAAGCTGAATGGCAAAAATGCTTGTTTATAACTGTGTAACTTTTTAAACTTTCAAAACTTAAAACCAAGTAAACATAAAATACTGAACCATCTTGTTTGAAACGGTGTGCATGCTGTCTTTCAGTGTTGTGTATGTTATAAGTTGACAAGAACTGTTACACTTGTTTTAAAAACAGCAGCTATTACAATTTTAGAAGGAGCAGCAACACGACAAAGGACTGCAGAATTCCCAGCTAGGCAGGCTGGTTCCCCAGCTGAGCTCACACGGTCTTGCTGTTTTTTCCTAGATCCTGTAAACCCTTTCGGTGCGAAAAAGGAATTTGCGATGGGAGGGACACTGAATACTCAGTGTAAAAGCTGCCTTTCCCCCCCACCCCGTGGTCACTCGCCTTGTCTGCCCTTTCCACTCATCGCGGATGGGGCTTTTGCCTTGGTATTTGTCCCCGTAACTTGGGAGCAGTTTTAAACCCTGCAGCCTGTCTTTTTTGTTGTTGTTTGGTTGTGGTGGCTTTTTTTTGTTTTGTTTGTTTGGTTGGTTGGTTGGTTGGGTTTTTTTTGTCTTCCGTTTAGAGTTAAACCCCTTCCTGATCAGCCTTGGTCACTTTTCCTTGTGGTATATCCCGGCGGGAGCCGCCTTCCCGCGGGGCGTGACTGTTGTCCCAGGCGCAGTCGGTGCTGCCGAGGTGGCCCGGCCATTCCCGCGCCCCACACGTGTCCCCCTGCGGCACTCGGGCATCAGGAACGGCTGGTTCCTATAGGAACGAGTGTTGTCGCCCCTCCGCTGTTGTCGCTCCGCTAACCGGCGCTGTCCCGGTCCGCACATGCATCCCGGCGGGAGCGGGGAATAGCCGGCCCGCCGCACGAGTTCCTTTACTCCCGGTAGCCTCAGGGCAGCGGGATTTCACACGCACTGACACCCCCAGCCGCGGCTGTCCTTCGGCGAACTACAGCTCCCGGCTGTCCCTGGCTGCCGGAGACCTTCCTTCCCTTTCTTTCTCCCTTCTCTTTTCTTCCTGCCGCTGCCGCCCCGCCTTTCCGCTTCCTGCTGCTGGGCCACGGCACTTCCAGCTCGGGGGAATTGCCCAGTGGGAGCCGCAGGTAACGGCAGTGGGGCTCCAAACTGGGCATCCCTCATTAACACCTGTGGTGGAACCATGGGCAGAACCGGCGTGGGGGACTGCCAGTCTGCTCCACGTTACTGCTCTGGGGTCGAGAGGAGTGAGGTGTGTTTTGTATTCTGTGTGCTTAAATGTTGCGTTACCTAACTACCGAAAATGTATTTTTTTCTCCAGTTCTCCAGATGGCTTGTTTTGGGTGGAAGAGAAAGATTGGTGAGAAGGTTTCAAGAGCCACTTCTCAGCAATTTGAAGCAGAAGCTGCGGATGAAAAGGATCTGGTTGGCGATGATGATACTAACTGGGTGCATGCAACTAAGAGAAGAAAGGAAATTCTCTTAGAAGACTGTGTGAAGAAAAGTAAGGAGCTCAAGGATGAAGGTGCAGACTTGGCTGAAAATAGGAGGTAGTGATGTTGTCTTACGCTTTTACTGAATGAGTACTATGTGCTATTTTAATCCCTTCTCTAAACAATAGGTAATTTGCTAGTATTTGCGTTTACGTTTTTCATATTCTAAAAAGTGATAATTTCATTCTGCCTTTGCTGTGTGGTACTAAATAAGTTGTTGCCTTTGGTGGTGGTGTCAGCTGTGAAGGAGCATGTGTTCTCATAACAACAACAAAAAAGAAGGCAAGAGATGAAAAACTGGTTGGATCTGAAAGTTGAAAGGGTAAATAAGATGCAGTGAGATAAGCCATACCGTAAGTAATGCTTTAGCTACTCTTGAAAATCTGTGTTTTCTCTTATTGAGGGTAAGCCTATTTTGAATGTGTACAGTGCCCAGGCAAATACTGCAAAGCAGCTAACGCGCTGTTAATCTGCTAATGCTTTTGGAAAGTCAGGTTCAGGGAGTTGCTCTGCATGTATTTTGCTTTGGATGTTGTATATCTTTTCTCTGTGGATTCTGGTGTTCTTTTTTGTTTTTTTTTTGTGTATTATGTAAAGTGCAGTGAATCTCTTGAACAGCAGCAAATAATCTGTTGTAGATGTGGTTTAGGGAGGGGAAATACTGAGCAGCAGGTAGGTTTTGGTGCTTTTAATATCTTCAGTTGGTCTTAGAAATTGAGTTCTCCATTACCTGTCAAAAAACAGTACAAAAGCTTAACCCATCCATAAGGATTTCTTGTAAACTTAGAGAGAACTATATCTCATCAGAAATGCTTTTAAGAACCACTGAGAAACTCTGAATGGTTTCTAACAGTTATGAGAAAAAACTTAACATTCATACCTGAGGCTTAACAGAAGTTCTTACTTAGAATTGTAATTTCCATCAGTTACTCTAGCATGCTCTGTACAGTTCAGGCAATGATGGTGATGTGGTGCTGCTGGGTACATAATTTTCAGGCTGATTTTTCTCTTAAAAAGAAAATCACATTGGTTGAAGGATAAACTTACAGTGTGAGACTTTTATTACTTAAACAGGTGAAACAGTTGATGCACCATTACAGGGAACTTGAGGAAGCAGACTGAAAGGAGTGTTTATCCTGTCAGGTCGAAAGTGGTTGCTGTAATTGTGTTCAGATTTATGTGGTCTATTTCTTGAATATCCATCTGTACAACATAAGCAGACATAATTAAATACTTAAGGTAGATTCTTTCCTGAAATATGACGTAGTAACAGTTAAGGAAAGATTTGAGTCGAATTGTGTAGCATGTAGGTAAAAGGATGGTATCTCTTCCACTGAAGAAACTCAGAAGAAAGACAAAGAGTGAGCACTAGAGACTAACAAAGGTTGGTTCTTAGTTGGTGTCACTTGTGGAGTGGAGATAAGGGGATTCGAAAAGAAAACAGACTTGTGAAGAAGCAAGAGGCTAAATAAATAAAAGAATGGGAACTAATAAATTCAACTTCATTTCTTATAGAAGAGAGACTCAGAGGTAATGTGCATGGCAAAAATTAATATGATGAAAGGTGAATTTTGTAAGTGGACCTACTATTACTTAGGTAAAATAGTGATTACCACCTTTATGTGGTGTCAATCTTTTTAGCTTATTTTCTGGTAATGGAAGGCAGCGATGGTGTTAAAATCCTTACCATGGATTTGTTAGTCTCTGTGTGTATAGTAAGTCTGTTTCTGTGGGTAAGTGAAATCTGATCGTCTTATGTTTGCATAAACATAAATCGATCTCAGTAGTTCTTTGGGGGAGGGAATAATGAATAGGCTTCCTGGGTGTCAGAATTTGTACAGCCGCTTTATTTGCCCATCAGCAAACCTGGGAATGGTGTGGATGAATTGTTTGGGAGGTGGTGGCACTCTGTGGGTTTTCAGCTTTGATGGAGCCTACTGGAGGAGTTATTTGTACTTGCTGTAATGTGTGTGCATGAACCTGTGAAGCTGAGACAGAAGAAAAATGGTGATGAAGACAACAGTTTCTGATGCATATTTTAGTCTTTTTGTGGGATGGGAGGAAAGATTAGGAGACAAGCAGAAAAAGGTGTTACACTATGTTGACTGTCACAGTGGATCTGTTATTGTGAAAAACATGTTAGGAGATCCTGACCTAGAAACTTGGTAAGTAGGCAGTCTTGAAGATGGCTTGTGAATGAGTGATTTTGTCAGAACAGCAAGAAAAGGCAGACGTGGAAGAAGTGTCATATTTGTATTTTTTGAGGTTTGAGGAGTAATTAAACAAATATGTACAAACATAACACAGTCTTTTGGGAACAGGCCCATAGGGAGATTCTTGGGGCTGTCCTGAGCAGAGCCAGGAGTTGGACTTTGATGATCCCTGTGGATCCCTTCCAGCTCAGGATATTCTGTGATTTCTGTGAACAGAATACTGTCTGTTGATGGAAAGAATGTAGAATATTCCAGAGGAGAAAATGTTTTTGCTTATAATGCTGGTGGATTATCTAGCTTGAGACATCAGTATGGATGTGCCCATACACACTGGAATTAAAAAAATAAGGCAACAAACTCCAACCGCAAAAGCAAAACCAAACCAAACCCCCAAAATCACAATCCAGGTTAGTTTTTTTGTGTTGATAGCCCTACACTGTTTTAAATCTAACATAAGTTCATGTGCTCAGCCTCTGTATTTTGAACACAGCAATTGTCATTACAGTATATTTTGACTGGTAGGTAGGGAAGTCTTCGACTATGGCCACACAACGGTGAAAAAAATAAAGGGTTTAGGAGAGTTTAAACAGTGGAGTATAATGTCCTCAAGCGTATGGCATGTGAGAGCTAACAGCAAGAAGAAAAACTTCTGTCAGACTAGTATCCTCCGTATAACTGAGTTGCCTATTCATGCCGGTAGCTTTGCAATCACCCTTTTGTGCTGTTTTCAAACTACGAACTTCCTTATCTGCCCAGTAAGTGGCGATAGAGTTCTTCTCAATGTGCCCTGAAGAAGCGCAGAATTTCTGTTGGAAAAAGACACTATTGGGTTTAAATTCTTATTGATTTGCATTTAATTTTTCGGTTTTACTAAACTGAAGTTAATACTGCTCTTGCTCCTGATGATGTTTACTCCATTTTGTACTAAAAAAACCAACTCCATCTCGATTGGGAACATCTTATTGTTGGCTGGAACACTCTTATGTTAGGGATTCACCTATAAAAATAAATATTTGTGTCACTTTGTCACTTGGTGTATAAATTATACTGATTAATAAGATTTTACTCTTAATTTCCTTTAGACTTCGCAGCAGCAAATTAAATAAGGACATAAATTAAGCAAATTAAATAAGTGCAGTGAGCACACCAGATAACAAGTCAATTTTTATGAAACTGTTTATTTTTCTAGAGGGATTAATTTTTTAGAAATACTTAATTTAATTTTCTGATCTACTGAAAAAATTGGACTTTTCTGGAGGGTCAGTTTTTCCACATTTTAGCAGCTGAGACTTTTTCCTCTGCTCATGCCAGCATAGCTCCAACATGTGTAGTTTGTGATTTTTTACCTATATATGGTATATACCTATATATGAGTTTATTTTTCTCACTAGACATTGTAAGATGTCAAATGATGAAGCACATACCTTTAAAAAGTATCTTTAGTGTAGTGGTAAGTCAAGTGTCACTGAACAAGTATGTTTAGCAGATAGAGCAGAGGAATAACACCTATTTAAATTAAGTTGAAAAGCCTTCCATCATGTTGTTTTTACTCTTGTATTTGTTCCATTTGTCTGTGTCTTTCAGGTTTAGATTATGATAAGTACTTGTTTACTAATGAGTTATGAAAATGCCAAAGTAATAAAATTGCTTTCAGATTATATTGATAGTTCATTTTGATGCAACTAACATGGCAAAGGACAGAGATCATTATGTTGAAATTGCCTTTCAATTTTCAGTCAATGAAACTGATGTTACTTACCTAATAAAGTGCTAATAAAGAGGTTTCCCAGAAGATCCAACAGCTACCTTTGGCAGAAACATTTCAACAGCTTAATACTCTTAGTTACATTATGGAGTAGCCCAGGAAAAGTGGAGTATGTTAGAGAGAAGAGGGATCCAGGGGAGCTGGTAACATTTGTTTTAAGTTACTCCTCTCAACTCAAGAGTTATTCATTCTGATGAAGAGGAAATCAAGAAAAGGTGAATAAAAGTCCTTCGTGGATGTACAGGAAGCTCCCGACAAAATCCAAACATAGAATGGAAATGTACAAGAGGTGGGAGCAGAGTTGTGTTATGCAGGCATGGGTTGGGAAAGCCAAAGCCCACCTGGAGTTGAATCTGGGGAGGGATGTGAACGGCAAAAAAAAGAGGGCTTCTACAGGTGTATCAGTAGCAAAAGGAAAATGAAAGATGTGGGTCCTCTACTGAATGGGGTAGGGAATCAAGTGATAAATGATGCAGAACAGGCAGAGGCACTCTCTGTCTTTTTTGCCTAGGCCTTTACTTGTAAGACTTACCTTCAGGAACCGTGGGCCATGAGACCTGAGGGAAAGTCTAGAGCAAGGAAGACTTGCTCTGGGTGGAGGTAAGTTAGACTATGAAATGTTTAGATAAAACTAATGTATAGAAGTTCATGGGACCTGATGGGTTGCATCCTGGAGTGCTGAGGGAGCTGGTTGATGTCATCACAAAGACTTCGACTGCATTTGAAAGGTCATGACAGCTCCTGGGAGCTGCTAGAAAACAAACATCACTCCTTACCTTCAGGAAGGAAAAGAAGGAGGATTCAGAACTTTTAGGGCAAATAACTGTAAAGCTATCTGTGGGAACAAATTATTCTGGAAACCATTTTGAAATGTGGGAAGTACAAGAAGGTTGTTGGGAGTAGCTGGCATTGATGAACAAAGGTGCAATTATGATTGGCCAACCTGAGAGATGACAGATGGATCAGGGAAAGGTATAGATTTTCCATCATTGTTGATGCTGAGAACCCACTGGACAGAACTCCACCTGAGCAACCTCCTTCAGGTGACCCTGCTTTGAGCAGGGTGATTTGACTAGATG